AATGGTTAGGTGCTCATGGTTATTTAATGGGTGACGGGTAAACATGTACGCTAATGTATTCTCTCTATACCCTGACATAATCACTACCTTTTATTATATTGTACTTGCTTAGTAAAGTGCTTTTTTTCATTAACGTAATGGACATGGCATTAGGAATGCGATCGATGACTGCCAGAGCGATAAGAAAATAAAGTGTGTCCATTTCAACAATCCAATCTAATAACGTGAATAGTTTCATTACGCGATTTACTTAGGTACAGTAAAATCTGAAAGTTCGCGGAAACTAATCCTAATGCGAAAACCGAGATAGATAGAATGGTCCCATTTACACGCGTTCCGCTCCACCAGAATGCGCGGTGACTCAATCTGAGCAGCAAATTCAAATGATACCCAATGGCGCCGTTACTGGTAGTAATCCAAGCCAATGGTGGCTAAAAAAATACGACTCTAAGTTGCTAGGCGGCGACTGCGCGGGTCGCCTGTGAAACAGTTAATTATTGTTTATTATTACGCCGGCCTGTGTGGCGTGGAAGCTCGACTGCGGCACTAAGGGTTCCGGGTTCGGGCATGGATATTTATAAATACATAGTGGGTTGGGGTCTGGAGGGTATGGAATACTCCACCTCGTCGAAGGAGGGATCGATAATTCCTTCTCCATTATCCTTAACACTCTTGTGTTTTGTTTTTTGTAAGAGAACGTATTACTCGGCAGTAAATACCCTCGTCGAAGAAGGGCTCAATAATTCTTTCTCTATTAGTCTTAGCAAAAAGGTATAAGACTCTCACGATAGTTTTTGAAAACACGCAGTCTAATCTGCCTTTCCTGAGGAGTATTCCATTCTGCCATGATCGTAGTCTTATCCTGAACATTTTTACAATTTAAAACACGCTTTAAGATCTTTTCGGGAGCCTTTAAGGGCACTTAAAAGCCTTTGTGAAGCTTTAAGAGGTCTTTAAACGTTTAAGTAGCAATAGATTCAAAACGCGATCGAACAAACGTGCACTCGACCTGCATAGCGATTCTCTTATTTGAATGTTTGAATAAGAATGTCGCTCTCCCATCCGACACTTACTCGCCGAATCCCAAATACGAAACGACCTCAACGCAAACCAAGGGTTGTTTTTTATACATGCGAAGGTAAAGCAGAAAATGTCCCTCTCGTGCTCTGCAGCGACGGTTTTGAGAACCGACTCTTATTTGCTTGAACACTCGTTTCTTATCTTAACGTGTTTTATTTTTTCGAATGTTAGTTCTGTTCTCTTTCATTATGAAGCGGTACACGTGAAAAATTTCCTATATTGGAAAATTTGTAAATGTAGCAGAAAAGCTTAGCCTAAAGCAACCACCTGTTACAAAACTCTTCTAAAAGTCAAAGCAGTAGAAGTGCATTTCAGAACATTCGAAAATTTTCCAGAGCTACCAAACGTTTTTTAAAACACCGTGTGCCTTTCCTGAGCTCTATAGGTCTCGCAGTGTTCAGGTCAAATTACCTAGCCCAGAGACCTAAAGGGCTCTGGAAATGGCACACAGAAGTGCGAGTCCTTTCTAGGTGTCTTCCAGGCCTACGTGAATCCTGAAACCTGCCCAGAAAACATTGGAAGAGGGAGGTATTAAGCTCAGAAAGTTTTACTAATGAGCGAACCAGCTCGTTCGTAATTTTGGATTTTCTGCTCATCCGTCTGATATCTCGCGAACGGTTTCGAATTTTCTAATTCTGTTTTCAGAAATAGGTGGACAATGGTCAAGGGACTAATTGATTAATTTTTGGTCATTTGAACTTTCTATATTGGTTTGAAACAGTTTATTATCTAAATACACAAGATTGGCAATAATCTTATATATATATATATATATATATAATCCTATCATACTTTTTAAATTTAAAAGAGGTTAACAACTACATATCCTCGGTACTCCATTTATAAACTTCCTCCTGAATCGCGTTGCGTGTATTTTGCACTTCGATCCACTTCTTTTCGTACCCATTCGATCGATTGACGCCGTCCCACCGATGACCGGGCCGTATACCGAACCGATTCGGCATAAACTCCCCCTCAAACTGCAGCTTGACAGGTTTCCCGGTGTCGATATCGTTTTTCCTCCTCTTCTTCCGAATGTAGTCCAGCATGGGATCGCCCTCGCGCTCCTGCTCCTTGAGGTGCCGCTCGAGATCCTCGTCGTCGGCGTAGCGCGCGAACGGTTTGTTCATCTCCTGCAGGGCGTCCTGCAGCTTGCTCTCGTAGTCCTCGACCTGTTTCAGGCCCTTCCCCCACCGCATGTACTTCTCCTTGTTCGCCTCCTCCTGCCTCTCCTTCTCCGAACGTTCCTGCGCCTCCTTTTCGAGATCGCGAACTTTGCCGGTCTTGCGGTCGCGCACGACGGTCGCGGCGTTTGCGCCCGTCGTTTCCGCCGACATCCGCTTGAAGAGCTCGTCCTCGCGCGTGCGGAACTCCTGATTCTCCTTGACGAGTTCCTGGGCGTTTTGGAGGCCCGCCTTTTTGCCGTCGAGGGTTTTCTCCATACGTTTCGCCGGTATGAGGTACTTGCCCTTCTTGTCGCCGGGGAGAAGCTTTCGACGAGGCGGCGGCGGCGACGGTTCTCTCCGCCGCTTCTCACGGTCGGAACGGTGTTTATGTCTCGGGCTGCTGTAAGAATACTTTCAAACTCAATGAAATGCAAAAAGGAGAATGTTTGGTTTTGAAAAAATAAAATTTTAATGCAGGCAAACAATTTTTGATTTTTTTTAATGTCCAACCTTTCTTTTATTTCTACAAATTTCTTAATCCATTTTTCCACATTTTACTCATAATAAATCGAAAATCTAAAAAAATTTTTGGATTTTTTGAAATTTGTATTTGGCATTTTTTGATTTGGTCTCTCTTTTCATTCGTCTTATTTCATATCTTCATCACTTTCTACTTATTTTTAAAAAAATCTATACATCAAGATAAAATGAAATAATTCTGATAATTTACATACCCAGTCTGACCGTCCCGTTTGCCCGATCTTCGTGGCGGGCTATGGTCCGAAACCCTTCGCCGGCGACGTGGCGGGCTCATGTCTCGAGATTTTCTGGGTGGGCTGGTGTCAGAATTTCGCCTAGCTTTTCGAGGGGGGCTCATATCGGTGCTTGCCGCTCTCCGCGGCGGGCTCATATCCGGGTCGTCTTCGCGCGGAGGCGTATCGCCGAGAACTTTCTCCCTACTCGACATATCCCACCGGCTCTCTCCTTTCCCCTTCCGCGGCGGACTGCCCTCTGCCTTAGCCTTCTTCGCTTTGGCCGGCCGCTTCAATCCTTTGCTTTCATTTTTGAAGAAAGTCAATACTATCTCCCGATCGCTTTTCGTCACTAAATTCTCCAATTTGCCGTCTTCCTCCGGATCTTCGGCCGCTCCTAACGGCCTCCACATGTTGCTCTTGGTGTAATCGTCAATTCTCATGTGCATCGGTCGATCGTCGATGACACCGACGATTTGGGGCGCGTCCTCGTTCGGTCCGTACAAGTCGTCGTTATCCGCCGTTAGGATCTTTGACAAATCGACATCGTCGTCTATAATTTTCACCCTGCAAGGTACGAATTTGATGAGGCAAATGTAGAAGGGTAACCCCCTACTTACCTGTCGGAAACAAAGTCCTTTCTTCGCTTTTTCTTCTTCTTATCTTTATTTCCTGATAAATATTTCTTTAAATATTCCTTTTGATTCATTACTTCCATTATTTAATTGTAATCTCTTAATTAAATGTTTGTATTTGTGTAAATTTTTGAGGTTATGTTTACGTCATTACGTCAACGTCAAATCACATGCAATTTGCGTTGTTGTCAGATCATATTATTACTGCCCATTATTGCCGCTACTTTCAATTCTACACTGAGACGTAGATTTTTTTCTCCATCCATCGTCTTCTCGTTTCTCTGGACTTTTCAAATTATTTCGTTATTCCGATTTTCAAATTCCTGTGATTCTTAACCCAAATCTACAAATTCTTCGGATTCTGTTTCAGATTCTTCATTGTCTTTTAAATAAAGAAATGGACAAAGAGATAACAAATTCAAGTAAAGTAAGAGAGTCAATATTCCCCATCAGGCCCCCCCGGTAATACGTTCTTCTTCAAAATCGCTCAGAATTTAGCATTCTCATGGCAGTTTTGGGAAAAATCAATCGAATCTTCCTTTCCTGAGGAGTATTTCATTCTGCACAGGATCGCAGTCTTGTCTCGAAAATTATTGTGAGAGTGCTAAACATGTTTGGAAAACAAGTAATTACAGACGGGTGAGGAGAGGGGGGGAGTATGGAGCAAGTATCATCGTTAAAGGATGGATCGAAATTTTTTCCCTATTACCCCCCTACTACTCTCACGGTGTTAGCGAAAAGGTAATCAATTGTTTGTATATACCGGGTGTATTCCATACCTCTCCGGTGTTGCGCGGAAATAACGCGCATATCGTAAACTGCCTGCATCTCTTAACAGCGATAAAACACGTGCGTTAATTAAATTTCGTCCGATAAATTCTTATTGCAAACGACCAGATGTCACCTTTTGCAAATGTGACCACTTACCTTATCTAAATTGAATAATTTACAAAAGCGATCAAATTTAAACATGAAATATTTACGCAATTACAAACAATTCTAAAAGGAAAAATAGACACAGTGATAACAAATTCAAGTAAAATAAACCAACCTTGTGCTTATAGGTACGTAAATAATCTCATTTACACTCAATAAATTGAAATATTCGCATATACAGGCTGTCCCGTCATAATTTTCGATGTTTAGATCGCAATAACGTGTAGGTACTTGATGTAGTCTTCCTATTCTTCATGGCCCTTTTGAGAGCCTTTTAAAAATAAACAACCTTGCGTTACCTTTATTATTGTGACCTCTGAAAAATCTCCCAGAAATCCACCCTCAATTGAATGGCGCCGTTATATACGTCGTGTCGCTAAGAACGTCACGGGAAAGTAACGCACAGACGCAGATAATAATAAAAACTAGAGTGAACAACACAAAATAGGAAATTTTATTAAGCAAACAATAAATAAAATATGGCATTTCATTAGGATATGTAGCAGGTGCTAGTCAATAAAACTCGAAGTTAATCCAATTTCCTAATATCATCACAATATTGTATCACTCCATATTTTCCGGTCGACTCCCAGTCCGGATCTTTGGAAGACAATGCTTCGGCTACTTCAGGCTCCAAACCGCAAATCAGCTGACACTTGACGGTCCGCAGACTGACAACCTTGGAAGGTCCAAATCCTTGTAGTGCCACATTGAAAGGAGTCGAAGGCTCCCAATTCTTCTCCCCCAGTAGCTTGCGGTAATTCAAATCGCCTTTGAAAATGACCACCTTCGCCTGCGCCATCTGGCGGTAGAGAGCTGGTGCCGTAGCCGCCATTAGTGAGTAATCGTGAGGCAGTGTGAAGAAATCGTCTTCGATAATCACCCATACTTTGTCAACGAGGTACTTGGTCCAACGTTCTCCCAGATACTTCATATCTTTGTCGTCGCTAGCGAGCAGCTGCCGTAGGGTCCAATCGAAATCGCGCTTCATCACGTCGGAGACGAACCACGACATGTTTTTCACGTAAATTCGAATCGACCGCGCGAACTTGTGCGTAATTAAAAAGTCCGCCAGACACAGATCGGTGAAGAGCTCGTAACCGGAATTGTCCAGCACGATATCTGAAATGTTACAAATTGCTGACGGGGGAAATTTCGGGCGGGAAACTTACCGATTATTTGCGACCCGTTCGTGTCCGAAACGGCGCTCCAAACGTCCTCGGATTGGTCGCTGACGATGTTCGGTTGCAAACTGTCGAGAATTTGAAACCAATCGCTGCAGTCTTCGACAATACCGCTCGAGAACGACAGGTCACATTGGTTGCCCCACAGGTTCAACTGAAAAGTATCATTTAATCTACACTGGCGCCCTCTCGGCCCTAGACGGCTGATTACTATATCTCCACTAGAGGCGCTGATGTCATTTACAAATGGCGCGTATTGGTGGGAGTGGTTTGTAAACATTTGTACTAATTTGAAAGTGAGCTTTTGAGACTTGACAGATAATCCGTAATAACTTGCTTTAAAACAGTCTTACTATTCATGGCACAATTTCACTGACCACAATTTAAACAATAGGCGATGACTTAAATTAATCTTACTATTTGTGGCATTCCTAATAGCATTGTGTTACATATACAATGCTAATAATGCACGTTACATCGTTCAATGTGAATATGCCGCTTAAGTTTTGTGAGCAGCGCAATTACACTGTTCACAAATTAAATGTTAGGGAAAGTTGTGTGTGTTAATTAGGAACACCTTCAGCGAAAGGTTAATTGTAACGTAATTATACTGGTAGCAGTGATAGAATGACATATATATCTCCTATTTTTTGTTGTGTAATTGCGCTGTTCACAATTAAAGGCTCTGGAAATGTTACGCGTTAGACGATAACTTATATACTTATTGTGGGTTGCATAATTGCACTGATCACAATATTGATTACGTTTGGCCGTTGTCAATAAACAAAATGGCGGTCTTATCCCACCAACAGTAATTACAATGTGCTGCCACCAGAGGTCGCACTGTTAATCTGACTCGCCAATAGAATCATTTTTTCAGTTTTTGCGTTGTTTTGCACTGTGTGTTGCCTATCAAGCGTTAGAAGCGATTTTGGCGAGTGCCTTTTGCCCATAAAAAGTGACTTAAACTCACTTTAAGAAGCTTAATAAACTCCGACTTGACATCCTGACCATCGGCAAGCTTGAGCACCAAATACTTGCTTAGCTGCAACACAGCTGCCAAATTTGCTTCGAAAGAAGACCGCTTTTGTATTTGAAAGAGGTCGTACGACTGCAAGGATTGCCTACAAAATTCACTGCCTGAACAGTGTAAACGCTGGGATATCTTACGTCTGTTCGAAAATCTCGCGAATTCGCCTGTACATGTAGCATTCGGCGTGCAACCAGACCGCCGTAAAGTACGTCTTGTTCGGCTGCTGCAGCACGAATTCGTTGTAGAGCTTAGCGTCGGGCGCGTCAGATCTGATCTCCTGCATCGGTTTGTTGGTTTGAATTTCGTACTTCAGCTTCGATATCTCGCCGATTACGGTCTTCAGCTCCTCCTTCGCGTTCTGCAATTTGTTCTAATTGTATCGAGCCGAGCCACAGGCTCTACTCACCTCCCCGTACTCCTTCCCGATCTCTTCTTTCTTACGCACGAGAATGTCGATGGATTGTGTTAGTATTCGCGGTAGACGTTCTTTAATTGTGAAGTACGCGAAGCTCCTAGAAATTTCGTAGCAGTTGGTGACTACGAGGCGATGGCTTACCGCTTGTAAAATCCGCTAAGTGAGGCGTTTCTTGGTGTCGTTATATCCATAATCGGGACATCCTCCGTACATTCGCACATTGTATAAATATAGCAGCACGCTGCAAAGAAAAGCGAGTTAAGAGGCCTCATCTTTCAGAAGTGCGACCTTTGACTGCTTGCTGCAAGAGAAGCCCATCTTATCGGAATCTGAAAAAACAGCTAGGGGCAAAAGGTCAGGGGATTACCGGAAAATTGGAGCTGAAACCTTGAACTGACTTTAGCAGATCACCTACTGTAGGTCAAATGTCTCATCCAGTAGTTCATATCACCTAACCTCAATTTGCTAAAATGGTGAACAAAAGCATAACTAAACCCGCAGAGGCGCCCCCACAATTATCGGAGGAGGCAGTCGAATCCTTCGAGGTGGAGCTGTGCTGGTGCATCAATCAGCTGAAAACAGCCCTGCGCCTCGGCAAACTAAACGCCAAGCAAAGTAAGTCGCTAACGACACCAACTCACCCTAATCACCGGCTTACAGTTCAAGACCACACCAAAAGCCTCAACACTTTGATGAGTCGCACCGCCCCCTTAATAAAAAAGCGCCAGGTCATGAGACTGTCGTTTGGAGACTACCGAAAGAAAATGGGCGAGGAAGAGAAGCGGGTCAGTAAAGGTACCGCCTCCGACTTGCACCGTAGCAGTACTAATTCATATTTTAGTGGCCCAAAACATGAAGCTCACGGTGCGGAAACCGAGCACTAAATCAACATTCGTACGGAAAGCGTGCGGTTTTAAATTCAATTTTGATATTGGGGGGGAGACACCTGAGGCAAGTCGCGATGAAGAACACCCACAGGGTACGCCGCACGAAGAGTTTAGATTAATGCCGACTGATAATAGTTTTAAGTTTAATTTCGAAGTTTCCAATTAATACATTTTTTTTATCCGTCCGTCCGTCTGCCTGTTTCTTACTAATTTTGTAAATATATTGCTTTGTAATATTAAAATTTGTGGAAGAGATGGCGCTGATTGGTCACTCCACTTTTCAAAGTATTCTGCAAATTTATAGGGGTGTACACATTACATATTAATTATGACCAATCAAATTTAGGGCACCATTTTTTAAGAAATAATTTCAAATGATCCAGTCAAATTAGACGTAAAAATGCTAAATGGTTACAAAAGGTCCGGTAGAAAATTTTTCAAACTTGTTTAAATGGTAAAGAGAGAAAAATCCAAGTTTGCCAATGCGACTGAAGTCGGGAGAAATTTCTGTGGTCAAAAATCTGCAAAAACTTCTGACTTTTTTCGGTTTTTTTAAATAACTCGCCAACGGTAATACTTAGGTAAAATTATCTATTATTAAAAACTGTAGTGTATAAAAGTACCTTCAATTTGATATTTTATTTGGCCCCCAACATGTATAGTTTAGGAGATATTCTAATTAGTGATTTTTAAAAATAATAACATTTTTAGCGCATTTTTTAAGAATTAAAAGAAATGTGGGACCACTAATTTATCTCAAATTCTGTATGTACATGCATCTATAGTGATGTCATGTCAAAATTTTGAAAATGGCGGAGGGTGAGGAGGTAAATACACGTTCTATCCTTCATGGTATTCTAATGAAAGGTGTCGACGCAATGAATTGGTTTCTACAAATTATAAACTTCCTGCGCGACTCCGTTTCGCCACCGCCATCTTCCGTGGTATTCTAATTAAAAGAGAAAAAAATAACTGTTTTTTACCAGTTCCCACCTTTCTTTCTAACCCCTTCTCAAAAATTCTACGCACCCAAATTAATAAGAAAAAATGTTTTCCCGAGAAATTTTGGTATAGTCGATTTTTGGTAAAAAAAGAAGGTTATACACTGGCCTTTTTTTGAGCCCCGAAGAAAAAATTGTCTCGGATCGACCCGAAAAAAAATTTTCTTATAGAATGTGGCCTGTAGAATCCATAATTTCAAACAATTCCAAGATTGG